AATTTCAGCACTTGGGAGGCTGAGGCAGAAGGATCACCAAGAGTTCGAGGCCAGCCTGAGCTACATAGTGAGACCCTGTCTCAAAAAAACCCAAAATAAATAAATAAATAAATAAAATTTTAAAAATGATAACCAATGTTTCAAAAGAGAAGGTAAACTACATGAAACACGCAGATAAACTAAATCAATTAGAAATACATCAAACTTTGATTAAAATAGTTCTTAGAAGCAAGAAAGTAAGAAAGAAAAGAGAAAGTATAGAGATGGAGACTTGACCTTACTAATGCCTTTTACAAACAGTGACAGCAGAAACTGGAAGATAGGTTATTGATTCTTATTCCAAAGGCCTTTTAATTATTCCTTAAATTATATTTATATGCAGCAGTCAACATTTATATATAGCCCTAGGTCTGCATAGTATTTGAATTTGTCTCATACAGAGACAACCAGACCCAACTCCAGCTGCCTGAGGCCAGAGGCACGTGTGACCAAACTGGTTTAGATGTCCTAAGAAACCTTTGGCACCTTACCAAAAAGACAACTCAAAATATAATTTACAAGATCAATGACTGTGGAAACTAGTGACTTTTTTTCCCTACTTGTGAGAAAATATTTTAGAGATAAGGAAGGTCAATACTAGAATGCAAATAATTAGTTTCTGGTTCTATCGCCAGCTTCACAAATGAAATACACCCACTCTAACTTACTAACTCTGAACAATATGGGGAGCAAAAACAAAAAGTCTGAAGAGAAGTGCTATTGTCAGAAGTTAAAACAGATTTATAAAAATAAACTGGGCTGAGTCTACTGTACAGATGGATTCTCTCTATAGCACACCTTTAAAATAGTAAAACCGTGTAGTGCATTTAAAGTAAGATTGCACAACTAAAATTTGGAACATATCTTTTGAATAGAACAAGTTATGTTTGTAAGGGAAAAGCATCTTCATGAATTTGATCAGGACAAAGTGAAAATCAGATCATGCTCATAAGCAAGCACAGGGTTAGATACTGGTCAGGCACCTTTCCCCTCAACTGATATTTCTAATACAGGAAATATCAAATTATGAAGAAAGGCAATACAACGAAATAAAAAATAGATCTGTAAGGTTAGTGTGTGCATGCTTGCACAGAGATGGTAGAATTCAAAGAAAGCCGTTAAACTTTCCCCAACTGCTTGCTGACTAGGAACCCTTCTTTGTACAGCATGTTCCATGAAACTTGGCCACTAAAAATGCAGGGCTGTATCTCACATTTCAAACTTAAGAGCTTTGAACAGAAAGTATGCTTTAAAATTTCAAAACTGACAGTCTATCCAAGAAAGAAATTACTTTCCAAATCACTTGGATTTTAAGTTCATCACCCAGTCATAGTTTTATTTTGCAGTAATTTTGATTTGCGCTTCTATATTTTTCTACACCGTCAGTAAAACAAGTTTGAAAGTTACACATTGCACATAAAATTAATCTCTACTGCACAAAGTTAGCTATGTCTGGAATACAACCACCCCATTCAGAAACATAATGAATCTCTTCCTGTGTTTATTTCATACCATATAACCATCACTGTGACCCAGTACAGGGGAGACATATGGTTCCTTCATTCATTGTACTGGGGAGGGAAGACACATGGTTGACTGGTTTTGTGATATTGAGGATTGAACCTTTTAAAGGGCCTTTACAGTGAGGTATATCCCCACCCTTTTCTTTTTTTTGGGGGGGGTACCAGGGAGTGAACTAGGATCCTTGCGCTTGTGAGGCAGATGGCGGAACCACTGAGCCAAATCCCTGGCCCTAAAAACAAATTACTTTTTTTTTTTTTTTTTTTTGGTAACCGGTTGGGACCTTGTGCTTGCAAGGCAGGCGGCAGAACCACTCCCCACCCTTTTCTTATTTTTGAGACAGGGTCTTGCCCAATCACTAAGTTGCTCAGGTTGGGTTCAAACTTGCAATCTTCTTCCTTGTCCTCTTCCTCAAATTCCCAGAGTGCTAGGATTACAGTCATGTACCACCACACCTGCCTGATTGTCCTTATCTTTAAATGTGTGCAGAACACACTTAAAAATTACCGTGTACTAGGGTTGACATAGTCCTGTAAGTCCTGCCCTTGGAGGAGAGAATTCTGGTGAATGGAGAAAGTGAGGCTCATGTATGGTACACAAAAGCAAAAAAAATAATAGAATGATAGTCATTTATTTGCAAGGATTTGCTCCACAAGCCAAGGGAAGGGCATTCCTGAGCATAGGGACCTGCTCAGATGCCACACACACACAAATCTTTGTCATACAACCCAACCATTCTCAGGCCTTATAAACCCACAGATTGATACTCATGTAGAGGGAATCCGATTTAATCCCTGATTTATATGACCCAAGGGAAAAGTTACAAACTAATACTCCAGCCATGAAATACTCTGCTCAAAGACACACAAACACCCACGTACTTCTTCATGTACATATCTCCCTATCTTTCATGCGCTTTTGGCCATCCCACCCTCACTTTCCCCAGTATTGTCCACTGATACCAGCTATAAGGACAGAAGAGTTCAGAGCACAGCAGTCCAGCGTGTCCTAAGCAGCAGACGCAAGTACAGGTGAGAGAATAGTTGGGGCGGGGGAAGAGAAATGATTTTGAAGAGTTTGGTTTCAAGGATTATGGGTAAAGAATGGAGAGTCTGGCATGGTGGCACAACTTGAAATCCCAGCTACTTGGCAGGCTGAAACAGGAGAATGAAAATGAAAATTCTAGGCTGGACAGAGCAATTCAGCAACACCCTGTTTCAGCATAAAAAACAAAGGGGGCCAGGGATGTAGCTCAGTGCTTGCTGGGTACTGCAAAAAGCAACAAAAACCAAAAAGCTCTATTTTCCTCTTTAAGAATATTGTACTCCCAGGCCAGGGATTTGGCTCAGAGGTGCCTTGCCTGCCTCAGCTCAATTCCAGGTACTGGAGAAGGAAGAAGGAAGAAGGAAGAAGGAAAAACCAAACCAAACCACTGTATTCCTTTTACTCTCAAACTAAATTGCTTAACTAACGATATTTTCAAGTAACACTACAATTAGACATAGTCTGAAAAACTAAATACAAACTATCAAATTTGACAATTTGGAAATTAACCAATTATTAATAGATAATTCATGAAGTATCTACTGAGCATCTAATCTGCACCTGCCTCTAGGCAGACAAGATAAAAACTAAAACTCACCAAGCTCACAAGAAAACTAAGTGAGTGGGCAAATAAACAAGACAGTACAACACAATGTTAATAACTGCTTCACTAGCACAGAGGAAGATGCACTCTTCTGGGCGGGCCAGTCCCTGAATGCAAAAGGAGTGCCACCAGCCAGCAGGCAACATGCTTGGAGGGCCTTTCTGCAGCATCCATGTACACTCTGGAAGGAAATGGGCACATGAATGGGGGACCGGACACGACCAAAAGTCATCAGGCACAAGAGACCAGCGTAGCTGGAGCGTGGTGGAGGAAATAGAATGTAGATCTCAAAAATGATCTAGAGTCCCCCACAGGTGCGAGATTAAACTGTCTGTGGACTTTAACCTTGGAATACAGGGAGCTCCAACAAGGGAAGGATCACATCTGCGGTTGAAGCTGCTAAATCTTTGGCTATAAGTGTGTATCGATAGCAAATAACTTTTCAAGTGTGTACTTCAACATGCACAAATCATCTGTGATTATTTCAGGCGAAAATTACTTCCTCCTCCCTTGTAAAATGATTTATATCTCTGCTACTAATTACAGTACCAAAAATTACAGGCGCGCTCTCAATAAATAATCAAAGACTGAAGGGAAAAAGTTACAGCTGACAACAGATTAATCTAACGTAACCCTGCACTGAAGCCTTCATACCCATAAAAGCCACACTTATCTAAAGTTTGTATCAAAATCATGTCCCTATGAAAAGACTCAAATTAATTCACCTCCCACTATTTTAGATAAAACTTTTCCCTTAGAACAAATTTCATTAAGTTCTTAGAACTTCAAAGAACATGTTTCCACTGCCTAGTATTCCTAAAGTTTCAACCGCTCCGGGGATCCTAAGTTACAGCTCCAGAACCGGGCTAAACGAGCCCACAGACAGGGAGTTTCTCGGCGCTCCGCTAGTGTCCACCTTGGTCTAGCAAGGATTGAGTTGTCACTTTGAAAACACGTTTATTCCCCCTCCTGGAGATGGGAGTGACGCTGGGCACATCTCCTCTGGGGGTGTATATAGCAGGACCCACAGCGCCGCGGGACCAGGGGAAGGGACGGCACACAGCACAAAGGGGAGGGAGCGACACGGGGACGTCGGGCCGGGGGAAGAGACGAGGGCAACTGCAGGACGCGCTCGGAGGACACTAGGAAGGCATCTCGTGCCAAAACAAAAACAACCGAAAGTTCAGCGCGGCGGTGGTAGCAGATTGGGCGAGCCTGTTCACGGCTGCCCATTGGAGAAGAGGAAAAACAGAGTCCCCCAATCGCAAGCGGCGGGGCTGCTCCCCTCGTGCGG